GGACCAGGTGTGTTTAAATACTTTTTGTGCGGAAATGAGATGAGTGCGGGGCACGGTCTGTGTTCCCAAACATAGCTACAAAACTTAATTTAACTGTAAAAGCATGAGAATGGTATCAATCTTCTCATCTAATGCTCAGCAAGAAATCAGATATGTGTATTTCCTAAAATGCAGTGGTATTCTTTTACATATTCCAATTGATTTGTGATGTCACACTCACAGCCCTTTTCTCTGATACAGAAGTTGCAGAAGTAAATCTGTGGAGTTTTATCACCACAGTGACCATGGGTATTCATTCATATAATCTAAACTAAGCCCCCAAAGCCTTTGACAAAAATGAGCTTACTGTGTTATTTCAGGAGAGCCAGAAATAGCACAGAGAATCTTGGCAAGTACTAATATACAGTACCTGCCATAAATAAACAGACATGAAGACAGTTGAATTTTTGAACAGCCTTTCCACTTGGCTGTTTGCCTGCATCGAAAAAACCTCTGAGCTCCGGCACTTAAATGTTCAATACAAACACATTCACCTGCTAGAGGGTAATCAGCTTTGTAAGAGAGAAATGGTTAGTAATACTCTCTTTGATCAGCTTTTCATTTTTGCATATCACAACTCCATCTTTTGTCACAATCTAATATTAAATTTCTACCGTCATCATTGATCCTAAAGTGAGAATGTCTTGGCTGCTCAGGAAATATGAGATATACTGACACTCAGGGATTTGTTCAGTGTTCAGAGACTTTTAAGAGTTGGCATGTTGAATTCATTTGAAGGATTAAAAAATATTACACAAGCCATACATTTCTAAATTTTTAAATTTGAAAACCAGTTGCAACAGACAACTTATCTCTGTCTTACAGTGTATTTACTGTAAATTCATGACAGGTAAAACACGTTTTATATACTTTGTGAGGTCAGACAGTTCTTTCTACAGGAACCAATCTCACTCTTACTTTGCCACTTCAATGTTTTGCCTCCCAAATTGTTAAAAAGCAGCTCTCTTTTAATGTATTTTATAACACAGTAAAAACCTGATCCTACATATACTATTTGCAGCCTCTCAGTTGCTCTAATTTTAATTTCAATTTCACCACTGGCTATGATGCAGGATGCTAAAAAAAAGCCTGCTAAGGGGGAAGTGGATGGATTTACAGGCTGTAAAGAGGCCTCTGAGTGCTGTGATGGGCTGTGATTGGGAAACTATTCCTCTGGATAGATGTGAGTCGTAATGAATGTCCATGTCATGGAATCAGCCTGGTGTTTTGGTGCTGGTGAGCAGTGATGGAAATATTAATTTTACTTGAGTAAAGATAACAATACAGTGTCACAATAGTCTGTTACGAGTGGAATTACTGTATTAGCATCAAAATATACTTAAAGTACTCATTATGCAGAATGGTCCATCTACTGAATCATATGTATTACTGTACTAATATTGCATGCATTATTGTGTACATCACTTTAATGTGGCAGCTGGTAAAGATAGGGGTTCATTCTAATTACTATATATACTATTGCATAGCTTAACATATTATAATTTATATAAATGTATTAGTTGATTTATATTTTGTGTTAACAATGTAAATCTGAAATCCAGTGGATTAAAAAGTGAAGCAATATTTGCCTCCAAAATGTAGTAAAGTAAAAGTATAAAGTAGCATGTGGAAATACTCAAGTAAAATTCCAGTAAGTCAGAATTGTACTTAACAGAATAAATGTAATATTCCACCGCCAGTGAGCACATGCTATCTAGCTGGTGACTGATTATAAAATCATCTTTTCCCCATCATATCCTCAATATGTTCACAAACACAGAAAAATAACCCCTCTGATCACCCGTTGCTATAGCAACTCCAGCTTGAGCGCTGTGATGCTACAAGGCCATGGATGTCGTTGTGATATCAGGCGCTTACAGTCAAACAGCACAGTCTGTCTGTGACCAAAAGTACTGGGTGCGTTATAAAAAAAAACACTGGAAAGATGGTTGGAGGTCTGAAGAACAACAAAGGAACTTTTCAGTTAAAAAAACAACAACATATATAAACCATGTGAAAACTGCAGAATGTCTACAGCTGGGCTAAGAGGAGATGAAACACACATTACAACCAACCCTGACAGGAAGCACTTATCACAGTATTGGAGCCTGCTGTCAGTGAATTGAAGTAACTCTATCCTCTACTGTATGACCATGTCTCAGACCATGTACCACCGAGAGTGCACTACATTCACAATCAACCACAGAGGAAGAAGTGAGCAGTAAAATCACAGGCTCTCCATGGCACATTTGAGACTTCTGCATGGTGAGAGACTGTGGGTCCGCCCTAAAGAACCTGGCATCCTGGTGGCAGATACTCAGCTGCCTCTCTTGTCCCAAGGTTGAGAAATGACAGCTGAGTCTACATTCTGCAATAACTACTGCCTGCTTCATTACATCACTGATATGGTTGTGACAGGAGAAAAAGTGACTGTAAGTGTTGAAGATATCAGACATCGCTCTGTGCACAACTGTTACCAAACACTTGAAATGCACTGCTAATCTTGTCTTGTTTCTGCCAGTTCTGCCAGTCTGCTGTATATTCAGGCTTGTCTCGTGGACAGGTAGCATTAAGAAGTACATTTACTGCGTTATTTGTTGTGCATTGTCATTAAACCCATTAAAACAACATTGTCTCATCAAAAAAGTACTCCTTTTGTTTACGTTCTTGCTAAAAGTCAGACAACGGGTGCCCTGTTAGCTCAGTCGTTAGAGCTGGCGACCCATGTACTGAGGCTGAGTCCTTGCTGCAGCGGCCCAGGGTTCAAATCCGCACTGCTGCGTGTCATCCCCTCTCTCTCTACCCCCCTTTCCTGTCTATCTTTGGCTGTCCCTATCAAATAAAGGCAATAAAAAGGCCCAAAAAAATTTAAAAAAAACTTAGACACCACTCTTATGCCTGTACACTAAATATCAACCTACAGCCAAATACCTTAGTTTATTATATTGGAAGCAGCGGGAAACAGCTAGCCTGACTCAATCCAAAGGTAAAAAAGAACCTATCACGCCTGTAAGGTTCACTAATGAAGTTATATCTCTTTTATTTAATTATACAAAAAATGAAGGGTAAACGCTGAAGTTTTTGCACTGGTTCCTGTTGTTTCCAGTTTTTATGGTACGCTAAGCCATCATCTCTTGGCTCTAGCAAACAGGCAAACATAAGAGTGGTCTCTACTAACATTGAGTGAGAAGGCTAATAAGGGTGTTTCCAAAAAAGTCCATTTCCCTGCTCCATTTCCCATAACTTCTGAAAATGGTGAGTTGGATTCTAAGCTTCCTGAACATAATTCACTGCCGCGTAGAAAAGCGCGACCCTGCTGTGCTGTGATGCTCTTCTACCACTCCATCATAAGAGTGACCAAGCCTGGCGAGCACATCGTGAACAGCTGAAGAAGCATGATCCCAGTTGGCAGGAGCTGTAAATGGCCAGTATGGCAGCTTGGCTTCTCTCAGTGGCTGCAGATGGCACCCAGCGACACCAGGGTCAACGTTCTGTCTGTGCCCCGCCAAAAATACTCGTACTGGGTGGGAGGCTCCATCTTCACCTGCCTCAGCAGATTTCTGCACATGTGGGTTAAGAGGCAGCAGGGATCCAGTCCCGTTTGCAGGAGGTGATTGAACAGAGATAGCTTTTACTTTTGTGCTATTTTATGCTTGGCAGGGACTCAATTTGAAAATAAAGAATTTCCAACCTATTAAGCATTTGGAACTGATATTAGAAAGCCTCACCATGTGATTCCAGCTTACTCTAGTAGCAACTGGATAATTTTGACCATTCCATCATTCTGAACATATGTGGGGCATATGTTTATGTTTCCCCTCATGCTTCGTTTGTAATGTGTGTGGACATGTGGACCCTTGAGGGTTTGGACAAGAAGCAGATTGTTCAAGAATGTTTTCTTCTCCAACAATCAGAGGCAGCAGCAGATGCTTTAAAGGGTTGGCTCGCCCAAGTCATGGAAATGAAATCCAATCTAAAAAATGTGGGTTCTTGAGATATTTATCTGTGAGATTTCTTCAGCCACCCCAGTAGTCAATGAACTACGTGCTCTGAGACAATAGTACAGATAAAACAGGTGACTGCTTTTTCAATGGATTCCACATTTCTGCATTTATCTGAAACTTATAAACAGATCAACATAAGTAAGACAGCAATGTATTCAATGTATGTCTGAATGACAAAAAACATTAATAAATAAAGGATAGACATGAAATTTCCTGTTTTGAGGACTGGACATTCAGTTATGAGCCACTTTTAAACCAGCAGGAGAACCACTGGTCAGACACAGGCAGACCGGCAATGTGGACTTGGTTGTAACTGACTGCCCATGGCCCGACCATGACCCAAATTGTATGGTGTCTGGTTTGCTCTCCCTTCATTTTTGTTCTGATTAAGTGTTACTGTTTCTTTCTTACAACTGTCTGAGTCAAACTTATATTTAAATGCACATTGTGAGAAAACAATGAGGGCACTTGCCAGGAACCACGTAGTATTTTATGTGTCAATCCATCACTTGATGCAGGCTACAATGGAGTGAGTCTATATCATTCTAAATTAAGTACTAGTAAATGTGAGACTGTAGGCGGGCTATTATGATCATTATGTCCAAATGTTCATGCTATGAAGTAATTCTTCTTAAGGTATGATTGTCACAACATTTTATTACTGTGAAATACTAATGCATGAATTGAAACTTTAAAATTCACACCCGTCTAAAAGGGTGTTTTAACTATATTTGACTGCAGGTTATAATGGTGCGTGTAAGTGAGCGCATTGAGGTGCATCCTTCACTATATGCGAACACAGGCTGCACGTCGCCTGACGATTCTATGAAACTATAAGAAAGTGTTATTATTGAGTAGGTTTGAACTCGCTCAGGTTGCCACTGACCCCTCTCCTCCCGTGTGCGCTGTCCTATCCAATGTGCGCTCTGGACACTTACCTCCCCTCCCTCCCTACCTCCCTCCCCTGTCCTCTCCTCCTCACCGCGCGGAGATCGACGCGCACAGGCACAACAGATGGTACAGTACTACAGACTGCAGGAGCGCAAGAATCTGATGCACAACTACTTTTATATCTGTAAACTTCACAGGAACGTTTAGTATATTAGGAGTAGGGGGGGGTTCTCCGAGGACAAACTCGACTTTGACAGTCTCTGGATCCTACGTTTAGAGGCGGAATTTGGTGTACGGGTAAGTTGTGATGTTTTCTGAATAGCCGTTTAGATTTCGGAATCAATGAACTCTAGAGCTGAATGCGCAGAAAAGGCACAACATGCGATGAGTTCAGGTATTTTTACTCCTTTATGGATGTATGTAAGTCTATTTATAACGCTAACTCCAACCGTTTAAGTTTGTTACGTAATATTTTACACAATTAAGAACAATGGCTTTATGAAATAACGCTCTAGCCTCTAGATCTAATGCCTTAAACAAGAATTTAAATGGATTATTACACCATCTGGGTAAAGAAAAATCTGTTTTTAGGTTTAGATTTCGAACTCTTTTGCTACACATTGCTTCCAAAACTAATTTAAAGATATCCACGAAAGAATTTCTCAAAATTGAGACACAAATGAGCTATTTATTTTACTTGAAAAACTTTATAGGAGCGGCATTAATGTGGGAGTGAATTAAGAATTAATAGAAACGTCAGACCTCCTTATTGTCATGAATTTCTACGCCAATAGGAGTCTTACATTCCAGGTTGTATTCTGGTCTATCTAGCCTTAAGTCTTCACTGGCTCCACAGGCACACGTCTCTGTAAAGTGCTGATGCTGCAACTCTGTGGGGTGCTGATGCCACAACACTGAGAGACATTCGAACATGTAATGATCATTTTTAGTGACATGTGTTGAGCCCACCCACCCCGTCACACATGGCAAACATTTAATGTGAAAAACCATACAGACACTACCATGTCAAAGGTCAGTAATGCTCTCTGACATTGTCTATGCTGGTTTTTCATCTCTTGTGAGAGGTGGCTGAGGTTAAATATGGGTTAAAACAGGACAGCCTCCGGCATAATGATCCACAGTGGATGATAACAAGACATCCAAACATGAATGCAAGAAACCTTATTACTTTTTACAGAAAATGAATACCTTTCGGTCTTTCTCGCCCTCAAATGCGTAACGAGATAAAAGCATTGAGGCTTTTTCAGGTTAATGGTCATCAAATACCACATGAAAAAATTGAATTTTTTGTTATTCAAAACACAAGCGCTTGTGACCTTTGTAGACATTAAAATTAATTAGCATTTTGAAAACATGGCGTAATCAGTATTTTACATTCTGCAAAGGCTGAAGTTCATAAGGAATAACTCCTGCCACCATCCCCATGCAGTGAATAGAGAAGACTTTTTACTGTAACTGCCTGTGAGACTCTAAAACTAATCTCTTCAAACTCTTGCATGTTTCCTGCCTCAGAAGAACATTAGAGAGCAGACACTCACTCTGACATTTAGTTCTAAGATTTAATAAAAAATAATCAAGTCTCAATCTGCCTCTTGACATTCATTATTATAAACCGCAACTTAGATATAAATTCAGGTCTGGCAGCCCAGTAAGCCAGCTGAGCCACACAGGGGAAAAGAATCCACCATTGGAGCTTTTCTACCATTGGTTGATGCCATCCATGCATATGTCACATCCTTAAGGCCCTTTAAGATGAGGGATGCACACTGGGTCACCAGTGAGCTGTATGTAATGATTTGTTCAGTCTCAGAGGAGGTCCAGACCTGCAATGGACCCCAGGTGGCCCTGTGGCAGCAGCAGCTACAGGAAAGCACAGCAGATTACCACATAGCCTCACAATTTGTACACAATTAGATCTCTGGGGAGAGCCACTCGAACTTTGTGTTGCATCTGCTCCTGATTCCGTGTGAGCTGCTGGCACGATGGTGAAATGTGGAAGAGTGAGGATTGCTTTGAAAATGCAACTGCAGAAAGATTTGCTGGTGAACACTGGTAAAATAATTAGGGTTACAGTGATGTTGTAAATTAATGGAAATAAATAATTGAGAGCACAATCGCGTAGATGCTGCTGTATAAATAGTGGTGGGATCAATTTCTGGAAGTCTGCTCATTCAGATCTCAGCTTTCTCTAAAAGCACTGCAAAAACCATTACATATACAGTGCTTTTATTACTTTGTGCCTTTACTTACCCTGTGCTTCTCTGTACACAGAACAGTACACATTGTACTGTGTAGATATCCTTTGTCTCTACGATATTACACATATCCTTTCTCTTCATTGCATCTTGCTTTATTTGTGCTCATTAAAATTTGTATGGGACCTCTGAGAGTACTTACTCACTAATGCTCCTGTGCAAGAGCCACATGACAAGCTAAATGCACCATGTGTGCTCTTACAAAGTCAAGTCAAGTGTACTGTGTTGAGTACTTGTACTAGATCAAAACACACACTGAGCAGCAATATTGGAGCATAAATGGGTATGTAGTACTGCAGCGAAGATATCATGTGGGGGGCCGGAGAGATTATCCAATATCTGATGTACTTTACTTTCCATTTATCAAAAACACACTGTTCTAACAAGTGGAGACTGTGGATGCAGTTTGTCCATCTTGCTATTTGTTTGCCCAACTTTTATGTGTCAACCTGGGAGGGCAGGATCATTTTCTCTGTGGAGAGTGGAGTACACATTTTGACACTAAAGCACAGGAATTGTCACTGAGAGGAGGCACTGCTGCTGATGTTATTGGAGTGCCAGATATCCTCCCAGCGTGGTATTTCATTATATTGTCACCGGCGTTGTGAGAAAATAAGAATAGCAGGCCTTTGAGTGTGAGTGAGGGACCCGTATTATACAAGAGAAGGGAGTTTAATGACTTAAGTCAGAGACAGCATCCCTCAAGTGTGAAAGGGTTAGATCTAAAGTAATAAGATAGGACTGGCTCTTTTTATGAGAACTGTAGTGTGTGGATTGTGAGTGTAGTCTCTCGCTTTGAAGAGTGGAATCAAAAGCGTGTGGATACTCAGCCACTGCAGAGGCTGACTGTTGTATTGACTTTACATAACCCACATGTAAGGTACACCTCATAAATATAGATTTTTGCCACATAAACAGTATATTTTATATATCATTTCCAGACTCAACAGCCGAACATATAAAATGCCACATTGCAGTGCAGAGGAAATGAAATAATGTTATACATGCTTGCTCATTAGAAAACATTTCCAAACAGCCTGCAGATGTAATCTGTTTCATAAGTCTGATGTCATGCAAATATGAATATGATGCTTTAAATATTGTTTTTTGCAGAGCAAACCACATACTGAAAACCAACAAAATAAATCATTCAGATTCAGTAGACATTCAGTTCTACATGTGTTAATTGCTACCACCATTATCTCCGACTGAGTGTGGAATATTTTAGGTAATGAGCTCCATTTGATGATTCTTCAGTTTAACTGCTGCTGCTGTCCATCCATCAAACCCAGGCCATCAAACTGCTGTCCTCACATGACTCAAGCAGCCAAGCAAAAATAAGTGACTGCATGAAGTCAGGGACTATCCGCAGCAATACATGGGTTATTTTTTGTAGCCGTGCATGCGCTCTCTCCATTTACAGTGGATCAATATCCTGCTGTGAGAAGTGAGCAAGAGTAAAATGAGGGGGATACTACAGTGAATAAATCCTGCAGTGATACCTGTAGCAGCCGTTAAGCAGCTGTGCCATGCAGCATCTGACATTAAGCTACTAATCTCAACATGAAAGAGAAGATGCCCACATTTTTGTCAGAGATGATGGATGCATTAAAAATGAATACACTCAACATACAGTGTATGCATAAATTACTGATTGATTGTCAACATCCTTTTTATAAGAGCTCATCCATGCACGTTGTGCTCTGACAGTAACTTATTAATCATTATGTGTCAGTAAATGTCTGCTTCAACACAAGCCATCATTCAGGTTACCTTCTCCGTTAATACATCTTACAGTAGTTTATTATAAATATTAGTAACTTCATGTTTTACTCATGATTTTTCCCCTTGGTGGATGGTCAAAAGCAGGTTGGGCCTCAGCAAAGCTATTGGTCAATTGAAGAAAAATGCATGTGATGTCATCGAACCATGGAAGTCAGTCCCAGTCCCCCCACACCCCCAACAGTCAGCGTCTGCTTCATTTGTGCATTCGTGCAGAAAAAAAACATGGAGAAAGAGCTGTTGTGCAGTCAACTGTGCAAACAGATTTGGAGACAATTCAGGTTTTTAAAGTCTTTACAAAAAGGCCAAAGTAAGCCGGAAGTAATACTTCTGTAATATGGCTGGGTAATGTCAACGACCCAAATGACGCTCTGAATGAAATTTGTGACAGAAAACCAGATATTTTAAATATATATTTACGTACACAGAACTTAAGAAACAGATTAGCTGAGTTTTTGAGTGTTTAGTAGATAATGTTGTAACAGTGTGTTACTCTTAGTGTTATAACTATAAACCTGAAAGTAACTACATTAAAACTACCTTTAGGTCACGGGTAAAGCAAGAGCACAGGGAAAACTTCGTCTCCTCTTACTTGGTCCACTTTACTGTCTGCTCAATTCTAACCAGTAACATTTCAGGCAAGGCACGCCATATTATGTCGTTGCTTCTCTAAATTACAGACAGAATACAAATATATGTATATGTTGTTACCATTAATTAACATATGCAAATGCTTTCAATAAACCTGAGAAGAATAATAAAGTAATCTACAATCTCATTTTACAATACCTAAGGTGTTATTTTTTTCACTTTGATTGCTGCATACAAGATATAGAACACAATGTTTTCAAGGGCTGTAAAATAACCAGGTGTCAATATTCGTTTGGACTTTGTTTAGTGTAATGTTACAGTACATCCCCATTGTTGAGTTACATACAGTTGCTATATATACCTGTACAGTCTATATCAAGTAACTGCATTTCTGGCCACATTTCAATTTGCAAAGACCACTGACTATCCACTGCTTCAGTTTTTCACTCTTTACTTTTTTAAGATGTTTCCGTCTTGATACTGACGCTCTTCAGGTTCATTGCAGACTTATGAAGTTTGTTTTTCAGTGTTGGTGAGGGAAGTAGTGTTATGAAAACATTAACGTCAGTGAATATCCTCTATGGGATGGCCAGCTGTGGATTCCTCAGTCTCATCTGTGCCATTCTGTCCTGGCTGGTTTCTTCTTGT